CCAAAGTTCTTAGACAATAAAAAGTCTATAGAGTGTAGAACACCCTTGTAGTGTATACTTTCCAAATGCTGTCTCCAAATATAGCTCCAATCAGATGTTTCTTTTGGGTAAATCGACAGTAAAGTGCATTGTGCTATTTAACAACCATCTACCTAACAACTGACAACAATCTAAAGTTTAAAGGCACACCTCCTGCATTATAGCTTGGGAACCCAGGGAGAACTATAGCAGTACAAGCCTCTTGGCTGCTGTTTCATGGGTCACACTATTATACATCCCCTGTTGCACATTTGGAACAGCCCTGGCAGCAGCCATAGGATAGTTTTAACACTTATGTGAACTGCATGACCAATGGAACGGTCACCCAGGCACATATGGAACTGTGAATCTCCCATAGTTCCTGAGGTAATCAAACTCCTGCTAATTCATGCAGAAAAAGTGTACTGTCACGTTGTGTTTTGTTTGCCATTTGTGAAAGTAACCAGTGACCAGCACAACATTTGAGGTACCATTGACACAAACAGACAGATTGGTCCCTTTTTAAGGACACTCCCTTGTAATTTGGATACTTTTTTTGTACTTCCAGTAATTACAAGGATTAAAGATATTGTGGATAACCATATTTTAACTTTGCTTAACAGAGAAAGACAGGAACCGGCAACCACCAAGCACCCCAACTGACCACATAAATAGGCCTCCTCGACCATTACCTAATCCTTATCCTAAAGTAACCTTGGGGAAGCTTCCAACACCCATACATCAAGGCAACCGTTTGCCTACTGTACCCAAACCTTTACCAAAGCCAGCTATAGCAACTAGACATCAGCCACCATCCCTACTGCCACCAGCAATGAAGAAGCCAGTGGGCCGCCCACAGCAGCAGCATGATGAAGAGGTAATGTTATGTATTAGATGTGCTAGGTATGAACAGTGTATATGTTCTGTTATAGTTATTTTCACATCACTTCATAAAAAAGGGTTACGATAAATAAACTGGTTTTGCATGTATTTTGAAAAGATGGTGTTGTTTCCACCACATTTGCACATGCATTCATGTTCATTGAATGTGCTAGTTTTTTGCTAGTCTGTTATGAAGACTGAGAATTAAACAACCAAGTGAAGCTTTCAAGTTATTTGGGGATTAAAAGTATTCCTAACAACTGATATTTTTACTAATTTCAGGACTATGTTGTGCCAGGTGATGAGGAAGATGATAATTATATTGAACCTACTGCTAGTCCGGAACCCTCTATAGGTAAGATCCTCTATATTCCCCCTCTGGGTGATCATTGTACATTGCAAGGATTATAACAAACTAATTTGCAGATGCCTATCTTTCTCTCTTCTGAGGAAAACAACTTTTTGGTCACGATGTCCTTTCAAATGGATTCCTGAATGGGAAGGTCTGGCGTTCATTATATCCATCTGGTGCACTTTTAGTGTCCTAATGAGGAAAGTTGCAGTGCCTGCATCTCTTTAGAAGTTGTTAACCCTTTTAAGGCCCCTTTTATAGAGGCTGATCAGGAAGGAATTCAATCATGCTGTGACATCCGTACTGCAATTGCAATTACCGGACCCCATGTCTGTTCAAGGAGAGTCAGATGTAAAGGGACATGTGTCTGTTTACATCAGATTACCCCTGATCTGGCACGATCAGGTCCAGCAAAACAGATCTCTGATTCGTTCGTTCCTCCGGATCTGGATTTGTGATTGTAAATAAAAATCATCTATTTTGGTACAGTTCCGCCTCATCCTCATCAGTTGTCCTTTAGGGATCCCTCTTATCCACTGGGAATGGTGGCAACTGTGGGTGGGAATGTAACCATTCTTATCAGTGGGTTTAAAATATGTTTTTGTCAGCCACTTAGTCCCTTCTTTGTATAGCTCAAGATCTAAAAACTGTATAGAGATCGGGCTAATGTTATAAGTAAATTTTAAATTAAAATCATTAGTGTTAAGAGAATTTAAAAATGTTTCCAAAGCTGGTTTAGTATCTCCCCAGATGAGAACTATATCATCAATGAAGCGCTTCCAAATAATGAGGGGTCCAATACTCTTAGAAAAAATATGATCCTCCTCCCACTTTGCCATATATAGGTTGGCCATGCTTGGTGCAAACTTAGCCCCCATTGCTACACCCTTTTCTTGTAGGAAGAACTTGTTATCATACCAAAAATAATTTCTTTTCATACAAAAATCCAGACATTCCAGTATAAATTCCTTTTGTTTCGATTTCAAACCTCCATATTTTTCAAAGGCCAAATTAATTGCTTCTAGGCCATTTCGGTGGAGTATACTTGTGTATAGGGAAGTGACATCTATCGTTGCCATGATTGTGTCCTCCTTCAAAACCAGACCATTAACCATATTGAGCACATCTTTGCTGTCCTTGATATAGGCCTCAGTTTTGCATACCAAGGGCTGCAAAAAATGATCGACATATTCCCCTAGTCTGGCCGTTAAGGAGCCTATACCACTAACAATTGGTCTCCCAGGGGGTTTTTCTTTATCTTTGTGAATCTTTGGTAGAAAGTATATTACTGGAGTTCTACATGTTGATGGTATGAGATAGTTTCTTTCTTTTTTGGTTAATAACTCCTTTCTATGACCTCTATTGATAAGTAATATTAATTCTTTTTTATATTCATATACTGGGTTCTTTTTTAGTAGTTTGTATGTATCTTTTGTTTGTAGAATGTTTAACATTTCCTCCTCATAAAAATCTTTGCTCAACACAACTACCCCCCCTCCCTTATCTGCTGGTCTAATGACAATGTCCTTTCTATCCTCCAGGGATTTTATACCTGTATTTGATGTGCATTTTGTTTCTCATATGTTTAATATCCAAAGATCTGAGGTCCTCCTCCACTAAGTGCTTAAAGACTTCAATGAAGTGATTGGAGCTGATTTTGGGGTTGAAAACTGATTGGTTTTTTAGCGGGGTGTATAAATAATTCCTCTCTAAGGTCGTGGTTTTATTTATGGGGCTCCTTGGTAAAGTGGAGGCATAATATTTTTTGATATTTAGCTTCCTAATAAATTTTTGAATGTCAATAAATGTATTGAATTTATTAAGGTTATGTGCTGGGGCAAACTTAAGACCTAAATTGAGTACTTCTTCCTCTGCTAGGGTGAGGGGGACAGAGCTCAGATTAAAAATGCCCTGTCCTACCACATTCTGTTGTTTCCGAAATTGGGTCCTTCTCCCCCCCTTACACCCCCTCCTCTGTACCTTGGGTTTCTGAAACCCTCCATAGGTGGGTGTCTCCATCCTCTTCCCCTTAAGGTCCCCCACTCGGCCCCTGGTCTTCCGATCTGTTCTACCGAGCCCAAAGGGTCCCTGTTCCCCCAATAGGGTCTCCTCCCCCTGGGGAAAAAACTCCCTGAGTGACCCCCTTGAAGGTGTCCCCCTGTAAGAGGGGGCTCTGTGTGTGTTTTCTAAAAAATTCCGTTTAGGCGGGCTTAAATTATGTGGAGTGGTATTGAACTCCGAGTCCCCTACTATGTTGGTGTCCGTTTGTTCCAATAAAGGGTGGAATCTTTGGGATGTAGGTAATTTAAAACGGGTATGTTGTGTTCCCTGTTTCTTCGTTTGTTGGTTATCAACTTGGTCCCTAAGTAGCGAACCAGGGTTACTCTGTCTATCTCTCTTACGTTTTTTGTGTATTGGTTTCCAGCCAAATTCTGTCTTACTTTTGCAGCTCCAGACGTGATCAGAAGCAATAAACCTGGCCAGCCACCCATTACCATGTCTCCAAGTCACCAAGAAGAACAAGGTACAACCCCATCAATGTCAATGAAAATGTATGAAGAGTTACCACTGTGCACATGAATGTATTTAGTTACTAACATGAGATGAAAGAGTTTATTGAATACACTTGAAATAATTTACCACTATAAACAATGATAGAAATGGCTTTGTTGATAGGAAATGTCATAGGTCCATAGCAACCAATCAGAATTATTATTGGCGCTCCGTCGGTTACTTCAATTTGCATTTACTGCTTTGCTTCTTGCACTATTTATTGGCTAAGCTTGCAGGTTTTTTTTAGGCCCACAGCACAGTATAGCAACAGGTAACAGGAATCTGTCCATTGCTAATACAGTGAATGGAGTAAAGGAGAAGGTTTTGGATCTGCCGGTGATAGCAGTGTAAGTGTATTTTGGAAGTGTTGCATCTGAAGGAAACCTGTCTTGAGAGAAACATAAAAGGTGCCCTTTCAGACTCTTTTTAAAATGTTAGTTGCTTGACTGCCATACCCGGCCCTGTATTTGCTTCTGTAATTACAGAACTAACATTCTGCACTAAAACCTTCATCTCTTAATTATCTAGTTTGTTAGTTTGGAAAAGCCAGTGTAAAGGAAAAGAAAAGGTGAAAAAAAAACAATTCTGTGTTCAACCAATCATTTTTGGCATATAAATTCTTAGTGATCAACAAAACTGGGTCCATTTCCTAAATAGGGAATTTATCAAAACTGGAGCTGATTTGCCTTGCAACCAATCAGCTTTGATCCCTAATTTTTAAATCTTAACTGAACAAACTGAAGAGAGAAGCTGATTGGTTGCCGTGCACAGCTGCTCCAGATTTTATCTGCTCCGGTTTTGATAAATTCCCCTATTTCTACCAGCCCGCACGTCTACCGCAATATCCCATGCCCGGAACGCAAGGGATAATATATATAAAGTCTCCTTGCGTTCTTGGGCAGAAGGGGGCATGGCAATGCCATTCATGTCCTTGGCACTGCAGACACACACCCCGCCTGCAATATGATCGGCCGCACAAGAACACGTGGTAATAAAATGGCCTGCTTTCCAGTGCGGTGGGATTGCAAAAAATCGTGCATGGTGGAAACAAGCACATAAGATGTTCTTCTTTCTCATCTCAGAAAGTTGGAAGGTATGATGTACAGTAACATAGTGTCCTTTTGAATCTCCTCTGTTGTAAAAATAAAACTGTACAACAATGTGCCCCTTTTAAGACTAGGAATGCTCACCTCTTCTGCTTCCTATGACGCTGACTTCTGCAGTAGTGAGGAGAATCTGCTGGTTAAGGATCCTAAAGAATCTGATGCTTCAACATTGTGGGATTTGATTCACCAGCCCCTTTGTCAGTACTATGTTGTGTAGTAGCATAGGGGCTGGTGGAAGGAACCACAGTGCACAAACTTAACACACCTGCAAGTGTCAGACTCCTTAGGATCTTCAACTGGCAGTTTCTGTGTAAAAGGGCACACCATTGTAAATTTTTTTATTTTAAAGACATTCACTTTAATGGCTTATGTTCATGTAATGTAGTTGCCGTTTGGGTGTTCTTTTTTTTTTTTTAATCTTTTTATTCGTTTTGCATGTTTTTGGTATACAACAAGACACCAACATAGTGCCTAAACATCAGCACATGTTAATACAGTGTGGCATAACATATGCCAATTCTTCCTACTTACATAAAACACCCACCCCAATCAGTCGCCTCCCACCCCTTAGATGCCCCCGAGCACCACCTCCCTCCAACAACTCCCAGCAAAATAAACATCACACCTTTTGTAAACCTATGAGCACTCATATTAGATCTCCATCTGATCAGTTCTGAAACCAGATGCAGGTGCACTCTGGATTCTCTCCCCGCCCCTACCTGGATGCTCTTCCCGTGTAGTGTAGGATGTGTAAGGACTATTAAGGGCTACATCTTACCAAGTGGTTCTCCCAAGAGTGTTTCGGTTACATTCCTAGTGTAGTATTGGACTCAAGCCATCCTGACAAAACCTTATCGAATTTAAGGGGGCACCCTCTGCAGGCATACACCACTTTGTGTAATGGGAGGGAGGCGTTGACCAAGGCCTTCCATGCTCCCAGGGTGGGTTATTACGCCTCCCTCCAGTTGAGGACTAGGAGTTTCCTGGCATAGAATAATAGGAATATCAGCAGAGTACTAGCGCCACGGAGGACACAATGTCGTCTATCAGGCCCAGTATACACACTCTACAATTGTTGGGGATTGGAGTATTTAGGATAGTTGTCGTGACTTCAGTCACCCCCTTCCAGTACCCCTGAATTATTGGACAGCTCCACAATACATGGGTGAGGTCTGCCGGTTTGTATGGACATCTCCAGCACGTAGCTGCGGCCGAGGCCTGCATCCTGGCGAGCCTGGCCGGCGTGTAGTATGCCCTGTGGATTATTTTGAATTGGATCAATCTGTTTCTTGTTGAAATAGTGTTGTCATAGGGCTGTCCCATATCTCCTCCTCGTCCCCCCGATTTAGATCAGGGCAGTCTAGTCTCCAGGCCCTGTAGCAGCCTTCCAAGGCCTCCTTCCCCCCAACTCCCCCCACGGGAGTTGTAAGACTGACAATTTGATTCTACGTGCCTTCCAATTCCAGAGGAACTCTGACACCAGGGCGCCGTTTGGGTGTTCTAATTTATCCTGAGGCCAGGTGTGTCCTCATAAACCTGATATTTTAGCTTTGGATAGATACTATTTAACTGAATCACCCACTAGTTCCTGATACTCTTTGTGACTGCAGCAATGCAATCAGTGCCTGTTCACCTTCCGCTGCAATTAACAATGCATCCCTCCAGGATTTTTTTCCATTTTTTTTATTTAACGTTAAAAAGCAATTTCAGGCAACAAGTGAAAGCAATCAGTGAGTACCTAACGCCAACCAGCAAACAATCTGGCTATGCTAAAGGGAGAAAGTTCAGTCAGTTTCATTTTAGAATATTGTCATGCAGCGGACTGAAACTGAAAGGTAATTTTAATAACTGTAAATTACATTATGATTTCTGTCTTCTGTTCATTTTTAATAAGAAACTAGTTTTCTGTTAAATGTTTAATTATGTAACATTTTGAATAACAGGGAATATATACTATGAAATCTCAGGACACATTAAAGTTTATCTTTAAGGAAAGAGCTCCATCCAGTGGCAGCCAAAGTTTTTTTTTTTCCTTGCATTTATAAAGGTATAAATTTAATACACGGACATTAAGTTTTAGTTTATAAAGGTATTAATTTAATACACAGACACTAAGTTTTTAGTTATTTCTTTGCTGCTTTGACTTGCTATGTCTTTACCCCATTTACTGTAAATGTTACCTTCATCTCTCTCTCTCTCTCCCCCTCGCAGATCTTTATGAAGTCCCTGAAAATGAGGTATTTTTTGTAACTTTTATATTTACACAAGTGGATTTGTGCTTTTCTAACTATTACTGATTATTGATTGCCAACAATTGTAAAAAAATATATATATATTTTTTTTATTAACCCTTGCAATGGGAATACCCCCGCATTGCAAGGTTGAAGTGCTCGTTTTGGTCTATAGGCCCCTATATACAATGAAGATACACTCATGGTCCTGTGTCAGTGACTGCTCATCTCTCTTCCCCTCTGACTGTGGTATGTCCCTCGGCGTCCTTGCATCTAATGGACTTGCGTGAGACATGATGACGTCACGGGTCCTTAGAGTGCCGGAGAACAGGCTGCGGGGACAAGTCTAGCATATTTTCGTCCCTAGACCAAAACGAGCACTTAACCCTGCAGTGCTGGGTAGCCCCACTGCAAGGGTTAATTTCATACAATTCTGGAGTTCTTCTTTAAGATTGTAACAATTACCCATAAAGATAATTTTATTTTAGTTAATTTTTTTTGTAATTTCAGGATAAACCTTCTCCACCTGTAAGGTAAATGCTTGCTTACTCTACAGATGATTCACATTTAATATATCTACAAAGGTTTCATTGAGCTGATATTTGTGTTAACCAATATCACAAATACATTTAATTGGTGCCTAGTAAAAAAAAATATGACACGGGTGTTATGTATTTATTTTTTACCATTTTTTCTTCTGTCCAGTAGAGAAGTACTACCGCTTCCAAGAAGAAATTCTCCACCAAAACCGGTATGTCCTTCACTATAAAACTATAAGTAGACGCAAGAACAAAAATGTTATATAAAAATATATTGCAGCTTGCCAGTCTGTAGATGTGGTGGCTGTAGTAGTTTTCTTTTTTCAAGTTGAGTATTTTTAGCAAGTACCAGAAAATACCTGTTGATCTTGCCAGAAATGCTGTGTCCTTCCTGTAAGCTGAACTGAAAGCAAGAAAACAATACTTCTCCTACCACCCATGTAATAGACAAACAGACGTGTGAAGTCCAGCCTGGGTGTCAACAATGGCTCTGTCCATGGATACAGTGGGGGAGTGAGTGTAGCTACCCTAAGGCAGGAAGTGTCTTATTTTTAGGATAGCCAGACCACAATAATGGGGGGGGAGCCTGCAAAAAAGAAATGCACCTACCACATCTTAGGACTGCTAAGCTACAATAATATATTTTTTTTTTGTCAGGCCTAAAATGTGGAATATAACATGGGTGCAAAAATTGAAAAAAGGGCCTCAGTCATGAAGGGGTTAAAAGCTTTAAATAGACTGTCATTAAAAAAGAAAACAACAGCTGTGCAAATACAGGCCCTAGAGGTGTACCTGTAGCAGCTTCCAAAACCTTATTGTTATGGCCAAATCCTCAGCTTTTCTGAAGCTACTGCGCTTACTAATATTGAGAAAGCTTGCCCACCCTTTTCTGCCTCCGGCATTTTTCTGCTGACCAGTGAGGAAGTCAATCATAATGATGGGCCAATAGGAACGTGTGGGAGGTAGCAGCAAGCTCTGACTCTATCTTGAAGTGTCAGAAATTTGCCGGCCTGAAATGCCTGGCATATATCCATATTACAGGCTGCTGTATGTGTGTGTGTAGCACTTTATACCTGCAGCATTTTCCTTGTTTTATTTTTTAACAACAGGCTCTCTTTTTAAAGTAGTAAAACATGTTTGATTTTTATATATCACTCAGTAGTTGGAATGTTATCAGATTCAGAACTCAAAACTGTTTCTTTTTTTTTTAAGGAGCCGCAGGCGAAGCTTGATGATAGTAAGTAACCATGTTTTGTATACAGCTGTGCAGACAAAACAAGCTTAGCAACCTTTTTTGGGAAGTACATTTTAAAAATTGTGAAACATTTTGAAAAATGTTCCACTGATAACCTATATATGAGTACATTTTTAATGTAGGACCATGTATTTGGCACCAGTACTTATAATGCGTTGAAGATTTTGATATGACTTTAAAGAACTCCAGGAATTATTTGTATTAACCCTTGCAGTTGGGTTACCCCCCTTCCCCACACACTCTGCAAGGATTAAGTGCTCTTAAGTGTCAAGGTTAATAAAAAACTTAAGTTAGACTCACCCGAAGCTCCGAGCCGGCTTCTTATACCGGCCCCTCCAACGTCTCTTCTTCTCATGTGCAGCGGTCAAAGGTCCTGCTAATCATCATGTTCTATACAAAGTGTATAGACCTGAGGTCACTGAAGAAGATTGTAATGCTGCAGTGGAGGAGGAGGCAGGTTGGAGGGAGCACTGTGACAGCTGGCCGACTCTGAGCTTTGGGTGAGTATAATTTTGTTATTTTAGCACCTAGACACAAACAAGCACTTAACCCTTGCAGTGTGGTGGTAGCCACGCTGCAAGGGTTAATACAAAAAATCCTGCCGTTCTTCTTTAACCATTCCTTAAAACTTAAATTGGAATTTCAGCAAATCATTCTGTTTTTGTAAAGGCTTAGGAACTCCGTCTTTTGTTATGGCTGTTTGTGTCCCCATGGGTGGGATCTCTCTTATTTCCTGATCACCAAGAGAGGAAGAAAGATAAAACTTCTCCAACAGTAACACAGACAGCAAAAAAAGAAAAACACTTTTCTTAAAACACTTGACAATGAGTAGTGACGGCAATAGAAAGCCAATAATATAATGAGGCCCCCGCTGTTCTCCTGTTAATAAAGGCTATACTTCCTTTAGTGATTTTGCAGCTAAATGGTACTGGAAATGTTTAATGCACCCTTTCTCTGGGATAAAAAGTTGTAAATTGCAATGGTACCTACAATATTAATTACCAAATTTCTATAATCTTTTTCTGCAATTAAAAGGATGTGGCCACCAGTAGATATAATGAGGCCCACTGAATGTTTCGTTGAATTCAGGCCAGTGTTTCATTTCAGTTTGACATGTCTGATGTAAACAGGGAGGCCATGGGATAGACTGTGCATCTGGGAAGATGGGCAAAAAAGGATAAGTTTGAAAGTGAACTTTTCCTTTTAAGCAAGGCCTTGTTTTGCTTTTACTAAACACAAATTCATGGAGCAATTGGTGGTTTCTTATAAGCAAACATCACATCCTTCTAGTTCGGAATTTTATATGGTTGTATGATCAAGTGTACACAATATAAATGAAAGCTTTCTTTTCCGAACAGCTGATAGAAGATCAGAGCTGCCCATGAAACCTACCCCATTTCCTCTTCCACGGAACGTGTGAGTACTACATTATTCAGGTCTACATTTGCTTAATAAAATTGGAAAAGCAAGAGTCTTATCCTTATACTGAATTATTCACTTGTATGTATATTAATCTTTTATTTGTTTCTTATATTTATCATTTTGCAGAAAGCCCAAGCCTCCGCTTCTAAAACCAGTAAGTCTGTACACATAATTTAGAATATAAAGGCTGATTCACAAGTGCATTGATCTGTACATCTATGCAGGGAGCTGTGTTTATGCACCTGGGGAGCCAATGGTGTTATTTGCAGCCCCCTGTTCAAATAAATGGCAGGCGGTAGCTGCACAGGTCATCATGCACATCCCAGTGTTTATAGCCGTACAGGGATGGATGCATGGCTCTGGATGTAGATAGACTTTAAATTGATGTTTAAGCCAGCTCCAATCCCTTTTTCTACTTCCTTTCTCCCTTGACTTGGCAGCCTTCCAGACACTGATATAAACTCATAGCAGGTGCTGTAAGAGGAGGAAGGAAGGGTGAGTTGAGCTGCTGAGAGCAGACTTCAGTGCTTCTGCTGTTAACATTGAGGACAAATCGCTCCACAGTACTTGCAGCAACATAAGTCAGTGAGGGCTTTTTTTAACATTGCAACATCCATAGCCAAGCCACAGGTTCAGTTTAAGGTGCTGGCTAACCTTATAGGTCATAGAGATATCTTTTTTTCTTCCATATTTTCATTTAGGTCCTTGATGATTTTCACTGCAACTCATATACTGTGGGGTTGAGTATAAAAATTAGTTTAGTTGAAGTGGTGAAAGTGTTTCATGTAAGAGTGTTATTTACCACATTAGCCGTTGATGAAAACAGAAAGGTTAGGCCAACGTAAGCCAAAACGTTTTTTTATTTTTGTTTTGGACAGGGTACAGAAAAGTAAAGGGTTTTTTTTGCTGTCTGTATGCTTTTGAGGATTGTCCTCTTGCGTGGTAAAAGACAAAAAATTGATTGGAGTGAGGAAGGATTACAATTTTTATTTTACAAATGTTTTTTTGTCACTGTGGCTGTGGCACTGCCCATGCCATCCTGTTCCAGGGACAACCCCATTTCTTGTACTTTTCTTGTACTTGTGTTAGAGAGACAGGAAGAAAGGGAAAATCTCCCCAATAGTGTCAAAAATAAATCCGGTCAGGCGCATAAATATAAGCCTAAAGGTGGCCATACACTCTACAACCATCGCAAGACTTTAGTCTTGCGATGGTTGTAAAGTGATTAAAAAAACGTACGATCTGCCTATCTTGGACAGGCAGATCGCACTCTCGATCATCGCAAGCCCGCCCTCCTGAGGGGCGGGCTTCCGATGACCGCAATGCTGAACGGGCAGTGTGCGCGTGCGCACACCGGCCCGTTCAGCATTTATCTTCCGAGCACCGTTCTAACCAGCCGAGAATCGTACGATTCCCGGCTGGTTTTCGAACATGCTGGTTCGACAGAAGACGTGCGACCGTACAGTAGAAACGGTCGCACGTCTCCGTTCACACTGCTCGATTATCGTATGAAAACCCGATCGCATACGATTATCGTACGATAATCGTGCAGTGTATGGGCACCTTTACAAAGATATAAAGGAATATCTGTTCCCTGCTCTTTTCAAGGCAGGAATACAACTACCCATGTACAGCTCATATTACAGCTGATTTCTGCTAAATTGTGGATGTCCACGTCAATTTAAATAAATCAACTGAGCAAGGTGGAAAATTCTGGGCGCACACTGACTGTGTCCTATCAGATGCAGTCAGTGTTCATGTATTCAGGTGCTGTGGCTCCCTGAATACAAAAATCAGCAGCAGAGTTTTGCTGTTTAGTGTGGAGAAAATCTAGCAATGTGTGGCTTTGGACTTAAAAGTGAAGTAATTTATGGGCTCACTCAGTAGAGGGAAAATGGAAGCTTTTTGTTATCATGCAACAATGGCAGCTGCTCTGATAAGATTTGAACTAGCAAAAAGAGAAAGGTGCACATGGGAAGGGTAATATAGTAAAGGGTATGAAAGGGGTTCCCAAAACACTGTCACGTTAGCCATCATTAGATAGCAAATCCAAGCTTTTACATTACATTTCTTAATCGTGCCTGACCTAGAACCCTGGTGTGTTCTGTAAGCTTGCATTTTAAACACTTTAACTCCAAGCTTTCTGATTTGATAACATACATTTATGGTGACTATATATGTAAACTGATTAGCTTTAAAACTAACAATTATAAGTCACTCTTTTTTTTTCTTTATCAGACACCTGGTACGATTCCAAGAGATGTGAACAGCAACATAGGTAGGTTTTTTATATAGACCTGTGAGTTTTTTTTTATATAAAATAAATGTACAGTTTTGTATAGACAGGTGACAGTAGAGCTGACCATTCGTGGCAACTTTCAACCACTTGATTTAAAAATATGGCCACAAGTAATCTCCAGAAACTCAGAAAACAACCATGAGTTAAATCACCTAGATTTGGTTAAGAGAACTATGGGGTAACCTTTTTATCCCATAGTTCTCTTTAGGGTCACAGAAGGACATATACCAACATCCTCCCGTGACCCAAAGCTCAGTATATAGCAAGCTAGAACTCGCTATATACTGAGAGCGCCGGGATGGATCCCGAGAATACTGTCAAGATCCACCCAGCTGGCTGAGTGACAGCGGGCTCTGCCTATCTAGAAGCAGAGTCAGCTGTGCCCGCCCCCTCCCCCATCCGTTCCTCTAGACAGCGCTGGAGGATTGGAGAGGGGAGGGGGGAATCCCTGCGGGGAGCGGTCACTGACAGTCACCGCTCTCTGCAGGGAGATGATCGGAAAATGAGCGATCAACGATATGTGTTTGCTCATTTCCCGATCAATAGTGCCGACGTGTGTTTCATTGTCACACGTGGGCTCTAAGTATGAAGTTGACTGTAAATCATTCACCTCATACTTCTCCTTTAATGATGAAGTGGAAACTGGGCAATAAATTGACACACACTACTTTTCCTTCCCTAAAATTAGTGGCGGTAGCATCATTTGCCGGTGCTGCTTATCTCACCTCACCTTGTAAACAAACACAATGGTTAGCCAATCTGTCATATGTGTGTTCCTGGTGGATAATGGTTGCACCTGAGAGGCATCAGGAATGTTTGACAACCCTTGGATGTCTATGAGCATCCTAATTGCTTTTTTCTACCCCTTTGCCTCCCCATCTCTACACTGTCAGCTATAGGAGGGTGCACACCTGCAGCATATATATATATATACCCCAAACATTTTTTAAAGTTTTGGATAAAGTAAAAAAAGAGTTAAAGTAAACAAGGTTATTTTGTGCCCTCTGTGTCCTGATTGGGAGATTTATTTCACTTTCTGCCCCGCAGACACAACAGGAAGTGAGGGGAATTTTCCTCTTAAATGGTGGTTTTTGAAACAGGTGCCAGTTTTGAAAAATTTGCCTTCACCTCTTTTCTTGACGACTCCACAAAAGTTTGGATTTCCCCTCACTTTCTGTGTCAGGGACAAGGGTCAGTAGAACAAACAGGGTAAATACAGCATAGACACAGAGAGTGAAGGAAAAAAAAGAGTTGTAATCCCTCCCTACTCTGTCCAAAACAAAACAAAAAAATGGCAATACATACACTTTAATTATAATACTGTAACGCTTTTGAAGCTATTAAAAGTACACAATACATTTTCCTTCCTTCACGTTGCATAATGGCCTTTTCAGTGTTATGCAATACTTTTTTGGGGGGTAACTCTCCAATGTAGTATTCTCAGATTGAATCATTTGTTTTTAGTGCTGTAATACTGGCACTGAAACGGCTTGTCAGGGGGACTGTGGGCTTTAGGTACTAAAAAAAAATATACATTTTTAGGTGTTCTAATAGTTAAGGATTAGGTTATAGTTAGGATTTAGGGGATATTTTAACATTGACAGTTTTACTGTACAAATACAGGTTAAGTTAGGTGAGGGATACAGTTGAGTTTAAAGCTGGTAATTCAAGTAAAGATTTTGTAGGTTGAACAAAAATCGAACAGATCCTTCCATGCATGTTTAAACAGTGCAGATGGCCAAATCTCCCCTGCTGAGAGACTGTATTCTGACAGCAGCAGGTGTGTCACTGTCAGCATTTTCAAACACTGCCTGCATCTGATTGGATAGGTGCGCTGTTTGGCCAATTATTTTCCACCTGGTGCCCTTGACAGAAGTTGATTGAATTAACTTTTGTCAGTCTGGGTGGTGGCAGGGCCACCCAGAGCTCAAATGTTTGCGGATTCAGTAACAAACAGTCGAGCTGTGGGTTGGCCAGCTTAAGAGTTTGGTTTTGGGTTCCAGGGGAGGCTAAGGGAAACAGAAGTACATGCCTCCAGTCACACCAATATTTATTTGAAACCACTACACTGATACCATACGTCAAATTACCTGTTTAAGAGCAGTCCGTTAAAATAGTAAATGTGTGCGTGTCTCCTTTGTGTTATAATGCTTAAGTGGTTAATTGCATTTTGATCCAGCAGGTTAATCAGAAATTGATGTGAACTAAAATGAAAATTGGAAGAAGGAAAATCTATTTAATCATAAACCAAATTTTATGTTACAGAAAGACCTCCAGTTGTTGCAGAACGTCCAAGGATAAGTATTGGATCAGAGCTTCCACCAACGCCACCATCAAGGCAAAGTGAGTTTTTGGGGGGTTAGAAAATGGTGCACGTGTAGGTATATAGAAAATCTCTCTGCTTCCTGTGCCACCATTAACAATTAAAATTTCAAGGCACGTTTGAAACTGATAGTGACTGAGGGAAACTTTGTAATACTGACATTTTTTACATCAGTCTTTCTATGTGTAAGATGCAGGAGGTCATGTTTATAAGCCTATTACACATGCACCAATTTCATACAGCAGTGAATCTAATAACTAGCTGCCATGCCATAAATAGCCACTATGGGCAGAGCATCCAATTGTTCTTTTCCCTTCTGTTCAGGGAGGCTTCAATTGGTGACTTCACTTTCTCCTGGCTGTCATGTACTTTTCAAACTTCCAAGACCAGTATGACTTAGGACAAATACATTGGTAAACCGTACAGCCATAACAATGTCTTAGGAGGCAACAATATGAAAAAAGAAGATGCATGTTAGAAGTTATACTGACTGCCGTATTTATCCAATAGTTTAGTATTTTCTAAGACAATGACCTGGAGAAAGCATGCAGATTACAAGTTTTATTATTGATCTTTAGTACAAATCCTAAAAGGACTTGTCCAGAGATAGTCAAGGCAACAAGCATGTTCAGGTGGGAATCCACAATAGAAACTTGTGTATTTATCTCATTATATAGGTTTCATTTAAACTGGATAGCCTGGATGTCTAAAGCTAGAGTCAGCAAAACCGACTAATGGATCTTCATTTAGCTTATTTCTAAAGTCTATACTTTTTCAATTTCCCATAAGACTGACTATAAAAGAAATTGTTTTCCACATTCAATGTATCCATCTGATTGCAGAACCACCTGAGACTGCAAATCGCTATGTGGTCAAGCAAAATCGACACGGCAGTGTTGCGGAGCAGGTATGATGAAAAAAAAAAAAAAAGACTACGCCTTTATGCAAGCATACGACTGAGCTCATAAAAAATTGCATATTTCCTTCCACCAGGGAGCCCCAGTTGCTACGTGTAGCCTGCCATAAAAGTCAATGGCTGTGCGCAGCTTTAAGCAGGTATAAAGTACTTGACTACAGCTGCATATGTGTCTGGACATAAATCAAAGGATGCAGGTTTTCTGTATCCAGGATTCACGTCCATACTCATGCTCCAAGGTACACATGTACCAGATTCCAGCTGCATAAAGCCATTGACATTTATGGGTGGCTGTGCGCAGCACCTGTAGCTTCCTGGCTGGGGGAAATACCCCAGCATTTACTCTGTACGGGTTCAGCCTAAAAATTGTAATGTTCTCTATTTTATTCTGTGCAAAATAAAAGACCTGTAAATCATACCATTTAATGGTCAGCTAAGGTAAAAGTCTGGCAACATTAATCTTACCCCCTTCGTGACTGGAGACGTACAGTGTACGTCCCGGCACTTTGTGCCTATATGACTGGCCACGTACACTGTACGTGACGAGTTATATCAGGCTTTGTAATGCTGGTAACAGCTGATTCTCAGCAGTTACCAGTCATTAATGAATGCCTCAGTATTGAGGCATTCATTAATGAAATAATTAAGCTTTTTGTAAAAGCTTATTCCTTTCATTAATGAAAGAATGAAGCCATTACATGCAAATACAGGACCGCAATTTGCGATCCTGTATTTGACAGCTAAAAATAGCTGAGAGGTAGCAGTGACTCACCTCTCTGCTATTTGTTTTGACAGCTCGAGAGCCCGATGTTTAGATACATTTCACTAAAAAGATACAATGTATAACTTTTGAGTGAAATGTATCAGTTCTGATCGTCTAGGCACGATCAAAGAGCTTTTAGGGAGATATGAATCTGACTAAAGTCAGGATCAGTCTCTAAGGTTATTATTAGCTGTTCCTAAGTTTGGAGCAGCCTAATAGCCAAAAATATTTAAAAAAAAGTTAATAGTGATTGCTTGATATAAACTGACAAGAAAAAAAGTTTTGTTTTTTTTTTACAAAGTGTAAAAAAAATTAAAGTGTAAAACAAAATTAGGAAAATAAAAATGATATATAAATATTTTTTATACTATAATTATTTAAAAAAATCTAAAAAAAATAATAATGGTCAAAACTTGTGAAAAAAGTGTTTTATTCTAGTTTTTTTCCCTCATGTTTTTATTTTATTCAAACTGAGGGGTTAGGTACACATATGTGGTATAATTATATAGCCCTATCTGTCCTCTAAAAAAACAATATAATATGTGTGGGTACATTTAGTAAGAAAGTATATTACTGCTGTGGAAGAATAACACAGCAAAAATGTAAAAAGTGTGTCAGTCATTTATGAACAGAAACTGAAAACTAGCTGTCATGAAGGGGTTAAAGGGGATAGTTGGGGTTAGCAGGGCTGCAGCTGTATTTTGTATTCAGGTGCATTTTTTTAAAAAGCAGCCTTTTAATTTTAACAATGTGTATTTTTACATACATGTACCATTTTGCATCATAGCTCACCTCAATGCACAGTTCGTATGTGTATATTTTGGAGGGCAAAAATACCTAGCTGGGACACCATACTAATGTTTTGTGCATTAACATGCATTTTGCTACAATGCAATAGTGTGAGTGGGCCCTTTAGGTAGTATGTGGGAGTGCTTCTCTTGGCAAGCTTACCAGTGCGATGTGTATATATACTGCATTACTACTGACCAATTGGACCAAACCTATAACTCTGTATATTCAATTTAAAACTGAACTTTTTTTATTGTCCAGATTTTGTAAATGGTTTGTATATACATTTTTTTTTTTTTTACATTTGTTTTGCTTTTTACTATAGGATGCTGGGGTGCTTAATAAAGAATGGTACTCATCATCGTGTGACCGCAAAGCAGCAGAAGAGGCCTTGCTAACTACCTTCAAGGTATTGTTTTATTTGCACTTAGGGACTGGAAAAAATGAAACTGTGTGCTGGCTACAAAGTACAATCTGTATTTTTCTATTTCTTGTTTTATTTTGATATATTTTGATAATGTATTGTTCAATGTAGTTGAACAAACCTAGCTAAGGACATTTAGTTTGCTAAGCACAGTCTGCATGCATGCACTCCAGCAGCAGCTACATGTCATTACAAGGGTGGCCTTTCTGATAGTGACAACAGTGATTCATGTGTGCACAATAACTGGCAGCACAGCAGCTTGTTGTCTCCACTGGAAGAGCAAATAACAGGGTGACATCACAGGAGAACAATATGTATACAGGGACATAGCTTTGTCACCCTGTAACAAGAAATGCCTAGACAATGACCTTCCTGCCAGGATTACCAGTTATTTTACTGAAACCTGCAAAGACTGAACATGCCTTTTGTTTACATTATATTACCATGTAAAATAATATGAGAATTCTAGTGATTTGGGTTTAGATCTACTTTATTTACAGCAATGATAAATAACTGCATCCTTAATGTCACTTTTTCTACAGGATGGTTCCTTTCTAGTAAGGAGAAGTACTGGCCAAGACCTGAAACAGCCATTCACCCTTGTAGTGTTTTACAAGAAAAGAGTATATAATATTCCAGTGAGATGCATTGAGTCAACTCAACAATATGCTCTTGGAAGAGAGAAAAGTGGTGAAGAGGTAAATACATAAAACTATGTTGAGTAAAAATAATTTCCACCTTGATTATCACAGCCTTAGAAAATCTGCAAATATGCATCTTTTTATAAGGAGCATATCATTTATTTACATCTGATGTCTGCCAGAGGCACCAAGTACCTGCCAAATTTACACAGCTTCTAATGTTTAGAATTCTTGCCTGACTAGTGTAGACATGTTGACACACATAACCAATAGAGAGGGCAATTTAAAGAAAACTTTGTGAAAATAGTTTTAGGATTTATTTACTATAAGCTCTACATATAGAGCTATTCTGAAAATTTGCACAATCTGAAAAAAATGCAAATTTCTGGTTTCCCACATAATTCAAATGAACCGCAACATTGCTGCCATCAAAAACATATCATTTTTAAAAATCTGGCTCTTCAGAATTTTACTGAAGCACAAAATGATCCAGTGAAAAAAAAGGGTTTAGCTTTAGTTGCACTTTAAAGCAGAACTACACTCTCCTTTTTTTGCATATATCTACTGCTATCAAGCAGTAGATATATGCAAAAACATGAAAAAAATTAAAAAGTTACCAAAAAAGGTACATACTTACCTCTGTCTCTGCCACTCCCTCCCGACTGTAGATCTGGAGCTTCTTGAGCAGCCGTGCAGGAAGATGAGAGCGGGCGCAGGCACAGTACAGATCTTCGGTGGGGAGAAGAGGAGGGAGACACAGTGGAGGGGAATGCACGTAGCCAGCCATGAGCATGCACGTTGGGACAGACACCGTGGGACACGAGGAGTCTATGCTGGATCAGAGACCTGCATCAGGGGGAGGAAAAAATTTGTGACTAACTGTAATCTTCGGGTTCTTAGTCACCTGCTGAAACAAAGTATGTACTTGTATTGAACACTGTAGGACACCCACTTTTGAGGATAGTTATAATGGTGTGGAATTCCAGTGCACTGCTGGAGGCTTTACCGATTCTTTTATAATCCATTATAGGCTTATGATCTTCAACTTTTCTTTCTGATTTTTGTCTTCCCCAGAGCAGTGAGGTGTTGCTTGTCAGGTTTTTATTGCTGCATATGTCCCATTAGGGAGATTTTTTTTTTTTGTGCTGTTAGCCATTGTCACTAGGGTTAGAAACCCAAAAGTGTGTGTTGTCCGAGTGGATTGACAACTAAGAGTGGAGTTCCGTCATTTTGGAGAGATTTTACCTCACTTTGTTGTGTCTACGGAAAAGAATGTAAAGGGAAATCTCCCAGTGGTAAACAGGGGGCAGAAAAACCTAACTAGTTTTAACCCATCCCTATTCCATGTTCACATACCTTTTAAATTTCATATTTTTAGTAGACCCAAAATGCTGGTTGCTCTATCGTAAAAATGTACTTAATCTTTAAGTCTACCTGCCCTTTCCCACCTTGTTAATAGTCAATACACAAGTAATTACACTACTGGGCCAACAATGAGGTGTTAAAAATGAAACAAATGACAAACCTAACTTCAAAAACTTAATATAAATTTTGTTCTATTTTCTGTAATTTTTCCTAATTATAGTAAAAAATAAAAACCCCAGTGGTGATTAAATACCACCGAAATAAAGCTCTATCTGTCCCCAAAAAATGGTATAAAATTCATTTCAGTACAGCGCTGCATGACGGAATAAACGTCAGTCAAAGTAACGCAGCACTGAATACTGAAAAATGGCCTGGCCAGGAAGGGGGTCTAAACACCTGGTCTTGATGTGGTTAAAAAGTATGTGCAAGCATATCTAGGTCCCTGCCTCTAGGATGACTACTCCTGAAACCTGCGACTTTTAAAGTCATCAGTATGTACAGTTCCCATGTTTCTACCATCACAGGTTCACTTTAAACTAAAATACAGTTTACTTTTAAGAATGGACCATAAAAGGTATAGGAGACATCTAAGTTGCTCTTATAGTTGTAAAAACATTTTCTTTTATTTGCTCAGTGCAGTTGTTCAATAACAAATTATTTTTTTTTTTACACAGAAATTTAACAGTGTTGCAGAAATTATCGAAAATCACCAGCGTACAAGCCTCGTGCTGATTGACAGCCAGACCAATACAAAAGACTCAACAAAGTTAATACATGCTGTTAAAGTACCATAAGCTATTGCTAAAGCCTCACCTGTCAAGTTGCAGAGGAAGTTCTACAAGGTTACTAGACACACCAAGGATCAATTTTGAAACTGGAAAACCATTCTGACAAAACACTTAAATTATGTATATATTTTCTTAGGTGAAGACAATTCCTGAAAGCTTGATAGGACTCAAATCCTGTATATATTTTTATAATAGTCTTTGAGTGCACAATAAAGCCATATAAAATGAACTGCTTGAGTTTCAGACTGTGTGCATGCATAATCACCTCACTGTGCAACTCTGCTGAAAGAAATGATGATTCCCATCATTCAATGGGAATTGTAGCTGTCAATGGGCATACGTTTGGGCAGGATTTTGAACAGGTGAATGGGCATGACAGACCAGGAATCTCCTGGTCTGTCAATCATGGTGTTATGTCATGGTGGGCAGGTAATACTAGGTCTCCTGGCCTGTCAAACAAATTCAGCTGTTTTAGTGGGCCGGACAGACTGGGAGTCCGAGATACCGTGTTTCCCTGAAAATAAGACCTACCCTGAAAGTAAAACCTAGCACTATCTTCAGATATTTCTGTAATATAAGACCTACCCTGAAAATGAGACCTAGTTCGGTGGTAGGGGGCGCACATGTATTGCTGCATCCAAGCAACCAGCCAGGGGTCCGAGAGTAACATTCAATTATATGAGCAGCTGGTCTCCTGAAGTCTGCATGTATAAAACATGTCAAGGACCGCAAAACATTTCATGCATACACAGCAGGGACTGACCGCAACACAGCAGGGACTGACCGCCGCACCGCAGCTCCCGCACACTTTCCCAGCAGGCAGCGGCACAGCGCGGCATGACCAGTGGTGTCAGAGTGAGGTGAGGGAACTTCTGACTGGAGGTCCGTGGAACAAGGTGGCTCCCTGGACAGCATCAGAGAGGAGAGCTCCAGGACAGCTGCAGCCTTCAGGTACTGTGACACTGTGTGACAGTATTTTTTCACTCCCTTTCGCCATCTTTTTCTATACTGTAAGATACAGTACATTCCATATCTCTGCTCTGTGTGACACCTGTGTGCCTCAGCCTTCACAGCATATTTTATCTCTGTTATTTAAATTATGGTAGAAAAAAAAGTATGTGGAGGGGATGCTCAATGGGGACAGTATGCAGTCTATAATGTCCCCACTGAGCATCCCCCACATACTTTTTTTATACTAATTTAAATAAGAGATAAAACTGTTTTATAAAACATCTCTAATTGACCCCCCACTGATATCCCTCCCCCCTGCAAACTACCCCACGTACACCCATTTACGGTACTATGCCCCTGTGGGAGGGAGCTGTGGAACATCAGCCTGCTGGGAGCTGTAGTCCCAGGAGCCAATGTCAGTGCCTTTTTGGTTAATGGTGCCCTCTTCCTCCTGTCCAGGCCCACCCAAGTGGCTTGTACCATAGGTACTGTATTATCGTACTTGCTTTAATGGTCGATTTCAACAGAATCGTACCGTATTTTGGCCCCCAGACAAGATGAGCGCAACAAGAAAGAGCTATTCCGTCAAGTACAAGAAAAGAATTGTAGAGGACTCGTGCGGCAAGAATATTACAGCTTACTGCCAAGAGAAGAAGTTGGATCTCAGATTGGTCTGAAATGGCGAGCAGACTACAATACCCTCAGTCAACAGGTAGACATGGGAAATGCTAAGAAGCACTAGTGTGGATCAGGTCGGCAAACGTTATTTCCACATTTGGAAGACATCACCTGTGAATGCATTGCTGACAGGAGAGCAAAGGGTTTGGTTGCGCGCAGCGCTGATATTTAAGCATTTGCCCTTGCAATGGTGCCAAAGTTAGATATATCCCCAGAAGAATTCAAAGCATCACAACATTGGCTGGATACCTTCCTTCAGCGATATGAACTCTAAGACCATCAACAACATTGTTCAAGCTGGAAGATGCAGAAATTGTTAAGCGTGCGCTGGCATTCAAGTCTTTTTGTTGATGGCATCGCCTTTTCTAGATACTAACTCTCCAACATGATTGCTATGGATGAACCTGCCGTGTTTATGGCCCAAGGATCTCAAACAACAATTAATCAGAGGCATGCCTCATCAATCTACATTCCCTCCACTGGTTACGAAAGTGGAGGGAATGAGGGAGTGAAAATAGAATGGAGAGAAATCAGCATGGAAACTTTGTGAAGTCTGGCCTGCAGGAAGTCGTGACTTGGGTGAAGAATTCATGGGCTAAAATCACTGACACCTGTGTTGCCAATGCACTACAAGCAGGCTACCTGGACAAGAAGTGTTCATTTAAGGAGAGCTCTATTGCCAGACATGAACGATTGGGGTCAATGGTTCTAAAGGGATTGGAGTGGCAAGAAAATCAAGCCATAATTCTTGATTTGGAGAGTTATGACGATGTTCCAGAAGAAGATGACATGACTGTATTTGAATAAACGTACGGTATATTTTGTACATGAATACATGTGGACTGTTGTACATGAATACATGTGGATTACTGGTATTGTACATGAATAAATGTGGATTGTTGTACATGAAAAACTTTGGATTGTTGTACATTTTGTTGCACATTAAAAAAAAGAAATAAGACATCCCCTGAAAGTAAGACCTAGGGGTCAATTCACAAAGCTTTTTTTCCAGATACCGCTCGTTATTTTAACGATTTTGCACGATATTGAAGCTAGTTCAATTCACCAAACGATTTAACGCTTTGAAAAATCATCAAATAACGTCTCACTACACGGAACCGATATTTTAAGGTGTGGATCGTTATTAAACGTTTCGATCGTTGTTTTAACAAGTCAAATCGTTAAATATGTACAGAAGTGCAATTCACAAAGATTTTTTTGCCAGATATCGATCGTTAAGCAATCGTTACATAAGCACCACCCTCAGGGTGTCGTTATGACATTTCCCTGGCGGTATTTCTTTGTTAGAGGAAGCTTTTGGCGACAAAAATTCAGTTCTTCAGTTTTGCAGTGAAAGTGTTTGGTAGTTTGGGGCAAGATGGAACCATTTGGGTGTGCTCTATTTGAACTTAAAACTATCCAGAGCCGAAGAAGAACACATCAGTATGTTGTTCTGATTTATAAACGTGTATTCCGTTCTCGCACTATTTTGGATTACTTTTCTGAAACCCAGGTGATAGCTAAATTCCGTTTAACATCTCCCATGATTCATTTCTCTGTAAGAAGCACTGTTCTCCTCCCCTTCTGCTCCCAGAATGCATCTCTCAAGCGTTATTTTACGATCATAGACGTTATTATTACGTTTAAAACATTAGCATAACGATTGGATAACGAGTCAGTAGAAAACCATAACGACCATCTTGAATAACGATTATAGCTTTCGTGAATACCATGTTTGCTAACGTTAAATAAGGGGCGGTAATTTAACAACTGAAGGAAACCAATAACGTTTCTCTTTGTGAATTGACCCCAGTGTCTTATTTTCGGGGAAACACGGTACCTAGATCCTCCCAATACAGCCAGCAGCAAAAAACTTAATTTAACTACCTTCCGTCCATGGCCGTTTGTGAACGGCCGGACGGACGTCTGCTAGGAGCGGGAGGACGTCCTGCCCCTCCCCTTTAATCACACAATGCAGGCAGACCTTCACCTCCACCCAGTGAGTGATGACAACAAGTGAGTGCTCACCTGGGGAGGTAGACCTACAGAGCTAGGTCAAATGCGCTTTTTCCCTTCTTAATGGGGGAGGGAAGCCCATGCACAGAAAAGGCGATAAGGTTTCTCAGATCACAGGTACCAATATAAATCCAGGTGGAAAGAGAAAAAGGACATAGTGCGTAACGTCCAATAAAATGCAATTTATTAAATAAAAAATGCGTACTCACAAATGATATAAACAGTACAGGCATTGGGTATTGCTGGATCAGACCAGCAGGGCAAATAGCAGCAAAGCGATAAAAAAACCTGTTCGTCCGGCTCAAACTTAATTTGCTGCTGATAAATATAGGACTACAGTGGGTATGTTACACGTCCGGTGGATCTGAGAAGGAGTAGGCACAGCAGCCACTGGTCATACAAACCAAAAATAAGGGATATAATGCACTTATGTAGGATAAAAGGCGATATTTTGGCAGTGGCTGCATCACTGGATTTACAATGCATAACATATTTACTAAATAAATTACTTTTCTAAACATGCATAAAACCTTCTGTCCAACGTTCAGCTTTAAGGCACAGATACAATTCTAGAGAGATAAAGAATACTAGCTGCAAAAATGAATCAAAATGTAAATAAAAGGCATAATGCTAGAGGAAAAACATATCATTTTGTAGCTTTGATAAAGTGGGAAAGGTTTAGAACCTCCATCATGTTTTTCTTGATGTCTATTTGCCCATCTGGGAAGTAAATGTTCCCAAAGTGAAGGGAAATTCCACCTTTAACAGGAGTCCCTACCAGCAGATTCCCCTTCTTTTCTTGTCCTGAAGATAACCATGAGATAATGAATTTCACAGTGGATCTCTTAAACATGGACAAAGACAACAATAAAAAACAAAAGATGTTCCTAACCTTCCTTACTCTATACAAAGAAAAAGTTTGGCTGCAGCTGGGCTATAAGAGCAAAGGAACAAGATCCAGACATCCAAGTCCCATTACAATTTTTTTTTTTTTTTTTTTTTAAATCACTGATGACAAAAAGAAAACAAATGTATTAAATGTCATCTTCAGGTCTGCGTATACATTGGAATATAAGATAGCTCTGCTATACAGCATGACTGTGATATTAGCACCATTGCAAATGCATTACCAGTCAGTACATTTGTAATCTTAGAAGGGCTCTCCCTGTCTCAGTGCAATTATTACATTAATGGATTGCAATTATTCCTGTTAACGTGTCTAGACTGCCAACACACAACGGACAGAAAAATGACACCTATTTTGTTAGTTTGTGCATTGAGGAGCGCTACGGTAACAGCAAGCTGTACACATTACAGTAATGCATAGATAAGAATAGGCCCTAACTCTTCAACTTTTATTAGGCTTAAATAACCCCTTCCTCCTGTTAACTAGTTTTGTTTTGTTTTTTTACTTGTACACAATTTTTTAATGTAATACTGCATTACAAAAAAAAATTAATTTAAAGTAAATGATTTGTACCAAAATAATTTGTATTTTAATAAGGAAAAATTACAGAATATAAAGTGAACTTTTCAGTACAAAGCAGTCATTTTTACAGTAAGAAAACTAGTGC